AAGTAGTCGGCCCATGGCCCAAAGTTCGTTTTCAAAACATAAACCAAACCCCGTGACCCCTAGCCACGACAATACATAGGGTTCAACCCTAACACACATGTTTGCATTTCTCGAGTCCAACTCGACTACATCACCATGCATATCAATCACAAGTCAATTACTCCACCAATCTCCAACGTCATGTTCACCCATGCAATTCTAGAGCTCGGCTCAAGTACATCTCCTTACATGGGCTGAACCTAATCCTTATGTCTACCCAATGCAATTCTAGAGCATCGAGCTCAAGTACATCTCCTTGCATTGGCATAGACCCCAATTCCTAAGCACTCGCTATGCCTAGAATTGTAATATCAATAATCTATTTCGGGACATCCTTACGGACTGCCTTATCATGATCTTAGCATCACATTACAACAATTTACTCACTTGAACCACAATCAAGTATATCACTTACAATCAAATCCTTAGATTCAATTTCTTAATAATTACAAACAATCATTAACTAGTATTCCAATACTATTAAGATTATTCCCATCAATCATATGTTTCATTTGTAAATCCCTACATATTTAGAAATATGTAGCAGCAACTTAGGGTATTTGATCCCAATCAAACATGGGATGGTCCTCCTCTTTTATTTCTCTTTTGTATTGTTTGAGCTCTTAACTCAATAGGTCCGCCCCATTTACGAGTTCTAACTTATTCTACTTGTTTTGCAGGTTCTAGGAAGGTGTGGGGCGTACTCTCATGTCCCCTAATTAATTTGGGAGTAAAATATCTACCAATACATCCAAAAGTGGAAAGATGGGTCCTATCATTTTTGTCTTTTGTCCTAAGATGTACTTTTGTATTCTCCCCAATTTATTCAGATCAAGTTAACCCCCTACATCGTATTATTGGTCTCTAATATGTGTAGTGTGGTCCCAATAATTTATTTGATGTACAATTACAAAAGAAAACCCTACTCCCATTATTTAGCCTAATAATGCCAAAAGATGGGACCATAGGTATTTGTATTCTTCTCAAATTATTCCGTCATTCATTTATGATGTTAATATATATATAAATATATATATCTGGGCTACCAATCGTGTGGGTCACCCTCCAATGGGTCTAGGATTCCATTCTTGAATAATTACTATTTTTAGCAGGTTAGGCGCAAAATAACATTTGGGCTGCCCGACCACTCTTACATTGTACCGATGGGCTGTATATCTTATTTAAGGATGTTGGGCCCCAATATCAATGATATGGCCCAATTAATTATTTAGAAGCCCGTTACCATTGTATGAGTCCAAATAGAAATATGATAAATCATACGTTCCGTAAAACTTTAATCGTTTTACAATTGTTCGAAAATAGGAGAATTCAATACATAAGCTTTGAAATTAAATTTGAATTTCTAGGACGTTCAGGTGCGGTGTCACAAGTTCACCACGTATGCTACATATACGTGGCATCCCTTTCTCATCATACTCCTCGCTCTCACGGCGGATATGATGCAACTATTTGACTTGCCTCGATCAACCTCGAAGCGTAGGGCCTTCCCATCATTGCTTTCGAGTTCTAGAACCTTTGTGTAGCAATCTACCCTATCATGATGCTTTTCTAGCCAATCCATCCCTAGGATCGCATCAAAATCAATCATGCTCAGCGGTACAAAACACCTCAAGGTTTGGCCACCGACTTCCACCTCACAAGCTGGATAATAACAAGTTCTCTCAACGTCATCCCCTAGTGGTGTTGATACCACTAGAGTTTGTATCATTGGTATCGAATGTATCCCTAATCCTTTGGCGAACGCCTCACTCACGAATGAACATTGCGCCCCGGTATCGATAAGGATTCGCGCATCCTTCCCATTAATCTTTAGTGTTCCTACATTTATAAGCCATGTAAGATGCCTTCCTACCATCTATATACATTTATAGTGGTTTATTATGCTCATACACATGTTTGGGATCAAGGAGAGGCCTTAACGTCGCAATTCAGTGCGAAAAAATCAACGTCGGGCAGTCAGGGTGTCACGCACGCGTGTGTGGGGGGGACGCACGCGTGTGTGCATGAATATTCTTCACCGGATGGCTACTTCCACCCACGCACGGAGGCACGCACGCGTGCGTCCGGCCGTGCGTGGGAAAAACCTTGCCCGCACCGTGCGAAACCCCCCGGTTTGCCCCCGGGATGACCTGTACCCAACCTCCACAGCTCCCCTCACTCAAAATAAGTCTAAAGACATTCAAAATTGATGTAATACATGCGACAGAGTCCGGGTTAGCTTGAGCATCCGCCTCCGTCATCGCATAGACTCTGGCTTGAGTATTTCCCTGGTTCACGGATGGCGCGTGACTCGCGCTTGCTCCTCCTTGTCCCCTAGATGCTTGGGAAGCCCCGACTTGATTCCGTGCCCCGGTAGTAGCACTACTTGGTCCTGAGGCTCTTGTTCCACCCAGTTGTGGGCAATTCATCTTCATGTGCCCGGTGTTCCCACATTGGTAGCATCTGGGAGGGTCACGACATTTTCCCAGGTGGTTCCTCTTGCAATTTCTGCAACGAGTCGTCCCTGAGGCTTGTGATTGCCCGCCCAGGCCTTGGCTTCCCCTAGGTGGTAGTGAGGGTGCCTGAAAGGATCCTCCTCCTCCATGATTCCCCTTTTTGTTAGGACCTTGAGGTCCATGGTTCTCCCACTTTCTCTTCTTCGCCTCTTCGGCGTTTTTCATCTTCTTTTCTTCCCATTCCTTCTCTCCCTTCAACCCTTGTTCAACTACTTGGATGAAGGTCATGTTGGGCAATTGTGTTTCCCTCTCACGTTTTTCCAAATCCAGGGCATCCCAGAAATGGTTAACCATTCGGTTCTCGTCGCAAACATACTCTGGTATGAACTCGGCTAGCTCCCTGAGTTTGTGTTCAAGTTGCCTCACCGTCATTTTGCCACCTTGGGTCAGGAGGGTGTACTCTCTCCTCTTAGTGTTCACCTCAAAATCAGAATAGTATTGAGCAAAGAACTCCTGTCGGAAATTCTCCCAAGTCACGGTTCTGCCATACTTGCCCTTGGCCCCGTCCCACCATGTGGACGCCATCCCTTCAAGCAATCTCACTGCCACCCTGAGTTTAAACTCGGGGGTGAGTTGCATATCAAGGGCTGCTTCGTTCAGCCTCTTGATCTATTCCGCGGCATCCGAGATGTCACCCGTTCCATTGAAGGGTTTTCACCCCAAGTCTCTCGCCTCCTTGAGAAATTTTGAGATCCTTATGATTGGACCTCCATCACCCCGGCCCCCATGTGGTTCAATGTGGGCCCTAGAGTCACCATGGCTTCTTCCTCTTGAAGCCCTACCCGAAGTTTGCCCCCCTCGGCGCCTTCGGCGTTCCCTCCTTTCTTCACGCTCCCGCTGGTATTGCCGGAGCAACGTCTCAATTCTTGCTAGGGAGTCATTCTCCCCATCTTCATCACTCATATCATCATCGTCCCCTTCGTAAGGGGTCTCAACCGGCTCAGTCTCCGGCTGATAAGTCGAGTCCTCGTAGGACCAGTAGGTTTCATCCTCGGTGTCAACATGGCCGTCGCTCACAGAGTGCGATCAGCCTCCATGGCTCGCCCCTCTAGACACTCTAGAGGCCCCACGGCTCCCCTGCCCGGTCCCCATCGGTGCACGGCCCGTCGGGTTCCTTCTCGTAACCTTGCCACCACCGTCCATTTCTGAAAGAAATTTTGGAAAGAGTCATTAGACTCGTATCAAATGTTAATTGACGGATAGGTACTTAAGACACTACTTGGCTCGAATTGCCGCCATACCAGATGCTAATGGTACCATCTTAACAATTAGAGGCCTTGCATCTCAAGTACAAAAAGTTCTATAAGTACAAAACATTTATGCTCATGGTTTGGATGAAATTGAGGATCTCCTAGATCTACTTTTGGAGACTTTGGATGTGCAAGTTGACCAAGAAAATTCTGCACAGAATGAGAAAGAAATAAATGTGGAGGAGGTCCTTGACTTGCTCCTTGATGTACTTGATACTAGTACAAGGCTCCAAACAGTCCAGATTGAGGAGGAGGATCTCGAGAATGAGGATGACTTTCCTTATTTTATTTTACCACATGAAAATGGGAAAGATGCACATTTAAATAACTATTGTATTGGAGAATTAAATAACTAATTTTATTTACAACTTAAGTATTGGAGAATTAAATAACTAATTTTCTTGCTAAGCATATTAGGCTAAATTCTCCACTACTACTAAATACTTGATTAATGTGGTTAGTTTCTTGCTAAGCATATTAGGCTAAATTCTCCACTACTACTAAATACTTAAACAACTTAAGTATTGGAGAATTAAATAACTAATTTTATTTACAACTTAAGTAAATAAAATTAAACAACAAAAGTAGTAGTGGAGAATTTAATTAAATGACATTAATGAGTAAACTAAAACTAGTGAACATGCAAAATAACTTGAGAGAGAATATTAACTAATAAAAAATATTAAACTAGCAAACATGTGGATGAGTAAAGTTTCGAAAATAAAATACTTAAAAGGTAAATTCAATGTGACTAGTAACGAAAAATTAACTAATTAAAAGTGGGGTATAGATTTGGAATTAAGGATCTTGGGTGTCTTTGATTATGAACAAAAATGGGAAATTTTCACTAATCTAAAGATACTAAATATCAATTCTCTTAGACAAGAAATTAATATTAATTGCCCTAACATGTCCTATTTCTAGGCTTAGTTTAGGGTGTGTGAGATGTGAGCTAAAATTAATTCTAAACTCATAGACAAGAAAGTATTAATTTTCCAAAAATTCACAAGTGAAGTGATCAATTTCACAAATTACTCTTTCAATTTCATCTCAAACAACCAGTTCTAAAAATTAGAGAATTTTCCCAAATTAACCTCAATATTCAAGAACACCCACTAACCTTAACTTTATCCAAATCCAAACCCCATGGAAATTTAGCCTAATATGCTTAGCAAGAAACTAACCACATTAATGGAGGAGCTAAAGTAATACAAGGAAACATATAATTCAAATACAAATTCATTCAACACAATAATAGTTCAAAATCCAACTTAAGAGCAGTTCCAATTGATAAGTAATCCAAGAGTGAAATTTAAAGCTTACTCAAACATGAAATTAAAGAAGAAATTTAACATAAAACCTTAACAACTAAGATTGAAAGATGAATGAACATGGAGTAGCTCGCTGCGGTATTCGTCCTGCGTTTCTTCCCTTCCGGTCAGCTGCTATATGTTCTCTGCCGCGGGTAAATTGTGTTTTTTTTTGCCAGCCGCTCTCCCAAGTCTTTTTTTTTTCTCGTCAATAGCTGCTGGTCTGGATTCTCTTATCCACCGTCAGTAGTGTCGGCAGCCTTATTTATCTTGCCCATCAGGATCATTTTTTAGCTGTCTTTTTTTTCATTTCTCCTTATTTTCTTTTCTTTTCTTTCGTTTGCTTTTCTTTCTTTTCACGCAGCTCAGCTGCAGTTAGCTTTTTTCTTTTTTTGCTTTTCTGGATTAATTAAGGCACTTCATTTATTAGAAAAATAATGCACTTCATTTGTTTATTGTATCAAGAAAAACATTGAAATATAATAGAATGCTCAAATTTGATAACACAAATAAGAAGAAAAAAAAAACATAAAATCAATCCAATTAAACACAAATCACTCAAAAATGTAAATTTCAACGCTAATTTCAAACATAACAAAAATGCAACAAAAACGCAGAAAAATGTATAATTTGTCCCGAGTTTGACAAGAAACGCTAAAAAAAGTGAGTGAAAATATATGAACAAATCAGCTAGTAGCCCATCTATATGAATACTAATGTCATAAATAAGTGATAGAATGATTGGAGAAGATTACAAATGCCTATGGTCCCATCTTTAGGGGACGTCAGAGTGCGCCCACACCTTCCTAGAACCTGCAAAACAAGGAAAATAAGTCAGAACACATAAATGGGGCGAACCTATTGAGTTGAGAGATCAAACAATACAAAAAAATAAAAGAGGAGGACCATCGCATGTTTGATTGCAATCAAACACCCTACCCTTTCTTTTTGTGAACCACACGATTAGCTATCATAATTTGAGAGCTCCTTGAGCCTTATCACAATATGGATGTGTTGGGCTGTGGTTGACTATTCGTATTGTACGGCGAGTTGTTGACGTGTCCGGATAGGTCCAGAGCGTGACACAATCATCCGTTAAAACTTAAAAGACCCTTGAGTGCGGGTCCGGCGGATTCGAACTACGAACTTGAGTGGCAAGTGGAGCTAAATTTCTAATTTATTATCATTACTTTATAAGTAGCGTGTATTTTTTGACATTGAAAAAATGGACTTATGAATTCCGAGCACTCACGTACACCGACAGAGTGCTGAAATCTCGCACCACCGGATCACGTCATACGGATGTGGCGATAATAAGCTCCCAATCAGAATATCATCAAATACACACTCTAGTTTCTATGTTCTGTACGAGTTATGTGTGCCCCCTAACTATCAGAGTCATACTCTAGCTTAAGCGTGTGCCAATGTGGCACGCTCGAACTAAGCATAGAAATATAGCTTGAGCTCTAGCTTGAAAATTTGAGGCCATTTAATGTAGATACCCCCATAATTTTTGGCCAGTGTACTACACATGTTTGGATACCCCCATAATCCATCATTTACGTATTGAGAATTTCATTTTCACCATATGATAACTTTATTCAATTTCCGAAGAAAGCAATTTCGTGTGATGGTAAACTTTGCAATGACAATCAATAAAAGTCAAGGCTAAATGTTATCACATTAAGTTTGATTTATACCTTTAGACATAAGTTTCATTAATGATCAATTATGCAAATAAATGCTAAATACTAAATTAGAAAATACGACATACACCTTAAAAGAAATTAAAAGTTTCCTTATATTTTAAAGTGATATACCTGTTTTCTTATATTGTGCATATTAGTATTCTTAAGAGATAATATTGTTTTGTATCTATACAAAATAAAATAACAATGAAATAAATTGCTCCAAATATGACTAATTTTCTTAAATGATTACCATATATATAAGGCATCTATGAGGACCAATTAGGAATTTATTTATCTCACGTCCCACATGTGTCTTGCATGTCTAAAAAATTACTCATAATATACTAAAAAATTATTTAAACATTTTAGTATATTATTCTGTGCAAATCTCTTGAATATCCCGGAATACAAATTTTCAATTTTGAAATTTTAAATTTTATTCCGGGATATTCAAGAGAAGTGCAAAGAACACAACTGAAATATTTAAATTCACTTAGCTATTTGACTCGATTGAACAATGGAGATGGTCATTGTTAGTATATACGATAAAAGAGATTCATGTTTTTACGGTTTGGGAAGAATTTGGAAATGAAGGAAGAACACTCTATAAAGTATGGAAAATAGTCAAAGTACCTTTTTTCTTATGTATTCTTTTCTTTTTCTTCAATTGTTTCCGTGTATACTGTAGAATCCCCAATCCATCCTCTCCGTTTAATTCATTTTTTAGGACATTCTTCTAAACCTATTATAATATCCGCTCTTGTTAATGCCAACATTCTTGATTGGGATGAGACTCGAACCTGCGACTTCCTCTTTAGGAGATCAACAGTGATTCCATTAGATCATAAGGTACTTCCCTTTAATTTATTATTATGCATCTCTGATCGTCTCTCATTACCCGATCATCACTACTTCCTACTCTTCATTTCCATGAAATAGAAGTTAAAAGTCACTAAACTACTTCGATTTCAAACTACTTTCTCACCTACACGATGAGAGTTTTTATAAATTGAAAAAACAAAAATGTTACTCCCTTCATTCTGTAATTAATTCTTATTTTGATTGCATAGAGATTGAAAACTTGAAATTTTCATAATTAATTCTTATTTTGACTTTGCGTAGCGATTAAAAAATTTGTAATTGTATGGCCTAGAGTGGTGTTGAGGAAAACAAATTGTAAACCGTACATTCTTTGTCACAAAAAAAGTTTATATTAGGACAACTAAAATGGAAACAACAAAATATATTTTGAGACAGGAGTACATGATATATCACCATAAGAAATAAAATGTGAAAGTAGTTCACCATACCCCGAAGAATATATCCTAAATAATTTAATTTTGTATTTTAATGAAAGATAAATAAGACATGAACAATTTAATTCAATAGTAGAGATGAAAGATCAAATCGGATAGATACATAGTATAAATTTTGGCTAGAAAACCCCAACAGAATGACATTGCAGAAAGAAGAAACAGAACTCTAAAAGAAGCTGCTCGAACTATGATTGCAGAATCAGGTCATCCAATGAGATATTGGGTTGAAACAATCAATAATGCATGCTATATACTCAAAACAAAAGCATGATACACAAAATTTACCAGAAGACCCCATGAGCTATGTACAATGGCGGATGACGTAGTATTCAAGGGTATTCACTTGAACACCAACAAATTTCAATTTTTTTTAATCAAAACGACATCATTTTGATGGTTATACAAAAAATGAAACGTAGTCGTTTGGTGATATTCAGCAGTTCAAACCTGCGTTACTGTGTATTCACGATGGTTCCAACTTCCAAGATAGGTCTTCACCGAAATCCTTCCACAAACTGAAATTCTTCCACCCTTGCCCGCTTCGGCTCCGTCAGTCAGCTTCTCACACCCAAGCTCCAGCCTCTAGGCTCCAGATTGTCTTGCAAGTTGGTTGATTGCTTGGTTTCTTTAAGTATTTTTTATTTTTGACTTTGAAAATCGGAAGAAATATCATATACGGAACAACGGAAGGTGTAGGGTTGAAGGTATTATATATTTATATGATGATGTACTGATGTATGGGCGTATGGCTAATTGGCTAAAGATTATTGAAAATTGAAATGCACCCAAGCCCTGATCTCTTTATGACTTTATCTTTTCTGCCTTTTTCAGAGTTCTAAATACAGACTCATAAATTAGTATAACTGATATATGGAGTGGCAAAGAGTAAAAAAATCAGTAGGAATAGTAAGACACTACTTTATGCGTGGCTAATGTGCAGAAAGTCAATAACCCACTAGGTAGAAATAATAAGATATTGAAAAAGTCAGTCAGAGCATTACAACAATACACCATTGGATGCCTACTCATTTCATTATTAGCCTAAAGTCCTAAACTGAGTTATCCAGTGTTCAAGTAGCAGAACTCCCTGTGATTAACCAAATGAATAAAAAGGATAAGGCTCTTATACTTTATTAATATATTATGGAGTATGTTTTACTTTTTAATGTAGTAATTTTTTGATTGATAAAGACACAATTGTTGAATCATAGCATTAGATATGATTATTGTGATACTTTTAACTTTACTTTAATTTCAAACACCCAAAATGTTCATCTTCTGATTCATCAGGGCTTGGGTGCATTTTTTTGGGTGTTTGAAATTAAAGTAAAGTTAAAAGTATCACAATAATCATATCTAATGCTATGATTCAACAATTGTGTCTTTATCAATCAAAAAATTACTACATTAAAAAGTAAAACATACTCCATAATATATTAATAAAGTATAAGAGCCTTATCCTTTTTATACATTTGGTTATTCACACGGAGTTCTGCTACTTGAACACTGGATAACTCAGTTTAGGACTTTAGGCTAATAATGAAATGAGTAGGCATCCAATGGTGTATTGTTGTTATGCTCCAGCTGACTGATTTTTTCAATATCTTATTATTTCTACCTAGTGGGTTATTGACTTTCTGCACATTAGCCATGCATAAAGTAGTGTCTTACTATTCCTACGATTGTTTTACTCTTTGCCACTCCATATATCAATTATCAGTTATACTAATTTATTAGTCTGTATTTAGAACTCTGAAAAAGGCAGAAAAGATAAAGTCATAAAGAGATCAGGGCTTGGGTGCATTTCAATTTTCAATAATCTTTAGCCAATTAGCCATACGCCCATACATCAATACATCATCATATAAATATATAATACCTTCAACCCTACACCTTCCGTCGTTCCGTATATGATATTTCTTCCGATTTTCAAAGTCAAAACTCAAAAATAAAAAATATTTAAAGAAAGCAAGCAATCAACCAACCTGCAGGACAATCTGGAGCCTAGAGGCTGGAACTTGGGTGTGAGAAGCTGACTGACGGAGCCGAAGCGGGCAAGGGTGGAAGAATTTCAGTTTGTGGAAGGATTTCGGTGAAGACCTATCTTGGAAGTTGGAACCATCGTGAATACACAGTAACGCAGGTTTGAAGTGCTGAATATCACCAAACGACTACGTTTCATTTCTTGTATAACCATCAAAACGATGTCGTTTTGATTAAAAAAATTGAAATTTGTTGGTGTTCAAGTGAATACCCTTGAACACTACGTCATCCGCCATTGTACATAGCCAGTGGAGGAGCTAGGGGGGAGGGGGGGGGGGGGGGGGGGGTAAGGGGGGCAAGCGCCCCCGCTCCGACTAATTTTTTTTACTAGTATTACTTATAATATGTTTCTTGCCCCGACTTCTTTTTTAATTTTAAAAACAATAAGTACAACTTAAGGTTATTTTAAAATGAAGTGTTAAAATAAATAAAAAAGTATTTTCAAAAAAAGTAAAAAAAAATGAAATATAGAATAAAAGGGGATTAATGAGTCAATTAGACAAATGAGCATCAAGTCTAAGGCTAAGTAAAAAAAACGGACATAAGTAGAAAAATGAAAAAAAAAACAATTCTAAAGCCCAAGCCACCTAGACAATCCTAAAGCCTAAGCCCAAAAATGAAAAAAATAACAATTCAAAACGTAATCACTAAAGTCTAAAGCCATTAAGTGGGTTAAAATTTCAAAGCTTCATTAACAAAAGACCTAGGCAGTCGGCAGTCCCTTCCCACTCCGCCAAAAAAAATGAATCGAGCAGTTGAGAACGCAGGTAGGCAGCGAACGTGAGAACTGAGAAGCAGCATCGCCCGCTCCCTCTCCGGCTTTACTCCCCAACAGAAATCTACCTTCCTTCTCCAGTTAGTTCTCAGTCTTCTCACTTCTCCCCATTTGTTCTCAGATTCTGCAATTTTCAAGTAAGTTTCTCATCTGCCAATTTATGCCCATATTAATTATTTGCTCTCATCCCTAACGAAAAATCAGAAATTATTTGTGTGAATCCTCAAATCTCAGTTCTAGATGCAATTTAATGCTATTTGTATAAGGAACATTTTTAATTCATACTTATTTTTGTTATATTTAGGAGTATGAGTTTGGATAAATTTGTAATTAAGACTAAGAGGTCTTTGATTGGAGGTGTTAGTTCTTCAATTGTTCCTAATCAGTCTATCTCTAGTGTTGAAAATGCCACTGTGTCAAATGAAAATATTGCTAGAGATGAGAGGAATGAGAGGGACAAGAGAGCCCGAACAGAAAGTACACATGAATGGGATATTATTAGTGATCCATTTTTACGAAAACCAATTAATGAATATGCGCCGGGGATTAGGGATGATGTGATGAGAGCATATGTTGTTAAAGGTGCTTGTCAACCAGCATCTCATAAGTTTCCACGAACTGAATTTGGTAAGACATTAAGGAGCTTTCGAGGAGAGTGATTTAAAACTTGGGAATGGTTGGAATATAGTATTTCTAAAGATGCCGCTTTCTGTTTTTGGTGTTACCTTTTTCATGGGCATGAAGGAAAGAGATTTGGTGATGATGTGTTTGTGAGGACCGGATTCCGTAATTGGAAGAAAGCTCCTGAAAAATTTAGAGATCATGTTGGTATTGTAGAGAGTGTGCACAATGATGCTAGAACACAATTTTTTGCTTTCAAAAATCAAAAACAAAGTATTTCAAGAAGTCTCTCTTCAGGAACACAACTGTTGGGTGCGGCATACCGTACTCGTTTGAATGCAAGTGTGGATTGTGCTAGATTTTTAATTGCACAAGGATTGGCTTTTCGTGGTCATAATGAGCGAGAGAGCTCATTAAATAGAGGAAATTTCTTGGAATTGATAGAATGGTATAGTGCACGCAATGCCGATGTGGCAAAAGTGGTGAAAGACAATGCACCTTCGAATCACCAACTTACTAGTCCTATGATTCAAAAAGATATTATTAATGCCTGCGCATCACAAACAACAAAAGCCATAATAAATGATCTTGGTGACAAGTTTTTTTCTTTATTGATTGATGAAGCTCGTGATAGTTCTGTGAAAGAACAAATGGCAGTTGTTGTGAGATATGTAAACGATCATGGAGTTGTGATTGAGCGGTTCCTTGGGGTTAAGCATGTTGTTGAGACCACATCTCTTTCTTTAAAAAGTGGCATTGATGATTTTTTTCAAAACATGAATTATCAATGTCTAGAGTTCGAGGACAAGGGTATGATGGAGCTTCTAATATGCGAGGTGAGTTGAATGGATTGAAGACTCTTATCTTGAATGAAAATCCACATGCGAGATATATTCATTGTTTTGCTCACCAATTGCAATTAGTTGTCGTGACTGTTTCTCAAAAAAATAATTTTGTGAGTGATTTCTTTGAATATTTGTCCATGATTACTAACATGGTTGAATCCTCTTGTAAAAGAAAAGATGAATTTCGCCAAAAACAACATGAAAACATGGTAGCCATGTTAGAAAAAGGTGAAATTACGACCGGGAGAGGATTGAATCAAGAAAGTACTTTAGCACGACTGGGAGCTACTCGATGGGGTTCACATTTTACAACCATTATTCGTATTCTATCTTTGTGGTCTCCAACAATCCAAGTGCTTGACAATATATTTGATGATGGAATTGATTCGAAATCAAGGGGAAAAGCTAGTAGTTTGGTTGAAAAAATGGAGAGCTATCAATTTGTTTTTATAGCCCACTTGATGAAGAAGGTATTGGGATTGACGAATATGTTGTCACATTTCTTGCAACAAAAAGATCAGAACATTCTTGAGGCTGTGAGCTTGATTAAAAGCATTAAAGAGAAGTTCCAAGATTTGAGAGAAAGTGGATGGGAAGAGCTATTAGAAGATGTCAGTAAATTTTGTGTGAAGAATAAAATTGACATTCTAAATATGGAAGATACAACTCATCGTTCTAGACGCGTTCGCCATCCGGTAACAAATTATCATCACTTTCGAGCTGATATTTTTTATCAGGTATTTTTTATTAAAATTTAAATTATTTATTAGTTATTATTATTATTATTATCATTATTATTATTACTATTACTACTACTTTTTATTATTACCTTATTGTAGGTTATAGACCAGGTCAATCTGGAAATGGAGAATCGCTTTAGTGAGTCAAATACAGATTTACTCGCTTGTTTAGCTTGCCTTGATCCTAAAGATAATTTTTCCAATTTCTGTGAGTCAAAGCTACTCAGTCTTGCGGAGTTATATTCATCTGATTTTTCAGCTGTTGAGCAAATGGAGCTTAAAGAACAACTTCAAGTTTGGATATATGAGATGAGAGGAAATGAAGCATTTTCCACTTTACAAAGTATTGGTGAAGTGTCTAAGAAGATGGTTGAGCTTACAATTCACAAATCTTTTCACTTGGTCTATCGTCTTATTGAGTTGGCTCTAGTGTTACCAGTTGCAACAGCCACAGTTGAAAGAGCTTTCTCATCGATGAATATTATCAAGACAGATCTTCGCAATAAGATGGGAGATGACTATCTTACGGATTGCTTAGTATGCTACATCGAAAGAGACATTTTTCAAGCAATTGATAATGAAGCTATTATGCAGCATTTTCAAAATATGAAAACTCGTAGGATTGATTTGCCTATGTTGCAGAAGTAAATCAAGTAGTATGTAATGAACTATAATTTTTTGTTAAATTATTACGCTATTGTTGTTCTTATTATATTTTGGACACGAACTTTAAAATTTTTAGTCTTTGGTTTGCCCCTCCTTGGACAAACCTCTGGCTCCGCCACTGTACATAGCTCTAAGGGGTCTTCTGGTAAATTTTGTGTATCATGCTTTTGTTTTGAGTATATAGCATGCTGTATTGATTGTTTCAACCCAATATCTCATTGGATGACCTGATTCTGCAATCATAGTTCGAGCAGCTTCTTTTAGAGTTCTGTTTCTTCTTTCTGCAATGTCATTCTGTTGGGGTGTTCTAGCCAAAATTTATACTATGTATCTATCCGATTTGATCTTTCATCTCTACTATTGAATTAAATTGTTCATGTCTTATTTATCTTTCATTAAAATACAAAATTAAATTATTTAGGATATATTCTTCGGGGTATGGTGAACTACTTTCACATTTTATTTCTTATGGTGATATATCATGTACTCCTGTCTCAAAATATATTTTGTTGTTTCCATTTTAGTTGTCCTAATATAAACTTTTTTTGTGACAAAGAATGTACGGTTTACAATTTGTTTTCCTCAACACCACTCTAGGCCATACAATTACAAGTTTTTTAATCGCTACGCAAAGTCAAAATAAGAATTAATTATGAAAATTTCAAGTTTTCAATCTCTATGCAATCAAAATAAGAATTAATTACAGAATGAAGGGAGTAACATTTTTGTTTTTTCAATTTATAAAAACTCTCATCGTGTAGGTGAGAAAGTAGTTTGAAATCGAAGTAGTTTAGTGACTTTTAACTTCTATTTCATGGAAATGAAGAGTAGGTAAGTAGTGATGATCGGGTAATGAGAGACGATCAGAGATGCATAATAATAAATTAAAGGGAAGTACCTTATGATCTAATGGAATCACTGTTGATCTCCTAAAGAGGAAGTCGCAGGTTCGAGTCTCATCCCAATCAAGAATGTTGGCATTAACAAGAGCGGATATTATAATAGGTTTAGAAGAATGTCCTAAAAAATGAATTAAACGGAGAGGATGGATTGGGGATTCTACAGTATACACGGAAACAATTGAAGAAAAAGAAAAGAATACATAAGAAAAAAGGTACTTTGACTATTTTCCATACTTTATAGAGTGTTTTCCTTCATTTCCAAATTCTTCCCAAACCGTAAAAACATGAATCTCTTTTATCGTATATACTAACAATGACCATCTCCATTGTTCAATCGAGTAAAATAGCTAAGTGAATTTAAATATTTCAGTTGTGTTCTTTGCACTTCTCTTGAATATCCCGGAATAAAATTTAAAATTTCAAAATTGAAAATTTGTATTCCGGGATATTCAAGAGATTTGCACGGAATAATATACTAAAATGTTTAAATAATTTTTTAGTATATTATGAGTAATTTTTTAGACATGCAAGACACATGTGGGACGTGAGATAAATAAATTCCTAATTGGTCCTCATAGATGCCTTATATATATGGTAATCATTTAAGAAAATTAGTCATATTTGGAGCAATTTATTTCATTGTTATTTTATTTTGTATAGATACAAAGCAATATTATCTCTTAAGAATACTAATATGCACAATATAAGAAAACAGATATATCACTTTAAAATATAAGGAAACTTTTAATTTCTTTTAAGGTGTATGTCGTATTTTCTAATTTAGTATTTAGCATTTATTTGCATAATTGATCATTAATGAAACTTATGTCTAAAGGTATAAATCAAACTTAATGTGATAACATTTAGCCTTGACTTTTATTGATTGTCATTGCAAAGTTTACCATCACACGAAATTGCTTTCTTCGGAAATTGAATAAAGTTATCATATGGTGAAAATGAAATTCTCAATACGTAAATGATGGATTATGGGGGTATCCAAACATGTGTAGTACACTGGCCAAAAATTATGGGGGTATCTACATTAAATGGCCTCAAATTTTCAAGCTAGAGCTCAAGCTATATTTCTATGCTTAGTTCGAGCGTGCCACATTGGCACACGCTTAAGCTAGAGTATGACTCTGATAGTTAGGGGGCACACATAACTCGTACAGAACATAGAAACTAGAGTGTGTATTTGATGATATTCTGATTGGGAGCTTATTATCGCCACATCCGTATGACGTGACCCGGTGGTGCGAGATTTCAGCACTCTGTCGGTGTACGTGAGTGCTCGGAATTCATAAGTCCATTTTTTCAATGTCAAAAAAATACACGCTACTTATAAAGAAATGATAATAAATTAGAAATTTAGCTCCACTTGCCACTCAAGTTCGTAGTTCGAATCCGCCGGACCCGCACTCAAGGGTCTTTTAAGTTTTAACGGATGATTGTGTCACGCTCTGGACCTATCCGGACACGTCAACAACTCGCCGTACAATACGAATAGTCAACCACAGCCCAACACATCCATATTATACAAGACGTCTCGAATATCATTCACACGTAAGTCATCCATAAACATACATAATAAGCAATTCAATACGCAGCGGAAAACATAGTTTCAAAAACAAATGCCACACGGGGAAAACATGAGCAAGCAGGCTCTATAGTGAAAAATATCCATGAGCATGTTTATAAGTGTTTAAAAACAGAATGGAGGAATCACGAACCAAGTCTTCTCCACAAGATGATCGCCCGAGCAACGAGCACAGGTAGCAAGCTCTAGCCTCAACATGAAATGGTGGTGGGACGCCCCCCGAAAGGGGGGTCAGTACTCTATACGGCTATAAAGTACTGGTGTGGATTGCATATAATAGATATACAACAAGTATTTCAAACACAAGACCCCTCAAATAGGTTGATAATATAATCTAGGCCGTAACCCCAAGTTACCTCTTTTCAAAATATACTTACTTTTATATAAAGTCAAGTAGTCGACCCGTTGGCCCATGTTTATCACAAAACATAACCCAAACCTCGTGACCACTAGTCACGACAATACATAGGGGCCAATCCTAATGCGTCCATGTTATATCTACCCAATGCAATTCTAGATCTCGACTCAAGTGCATCTCCTTACATTGGCATAGATTTGACCATAGGTTCCAAACCTTATATCACATCATCAATTTTCGACGTCATGTTCACCCATGCAATTCTAGAGCTCAGGCTCAAGTTCATCTCGTTACATGGGCTGAACCTAAACCTTATATCACATATTTTTGTTGACTGGTGCACAAGTCCTGAGGCTCTCACAGCCTGACAATTGTGCAAGCTCTCATGAATGTAGATATCACAGTCCAGGCAGAAGTGGTTTTTTCATTTCGGATAAGCAACACATGGACCGGGTATGTTTCCAGGGTTTAAGAGACTCTACTGGCAACCAAAACATTTTTTTTGCATCTTTTGCAAATTGTTTCGAACGGAGGGTGATACATCCTCAAATGGAGTGATTGGAAACAAGTGATGGTATGACCTTGCCAAATGTGGAGAAGTAACTAAGGTGAGCCCACAAACACAACATTCTGTAGGTAGTTCACAAACACGTGCTTTGCATCTCGGACACGTGTAGCCTCCACCAATTTTAGCTTCCTTGTTGCAAGAACAGATAGAAATTGCGCCTTCAGCCGCTCTTTGGGGAAACCCCGTCTTGATCAAATTTGCAACTGCAAATTCTGCTATTGCAGGAGGTGATGGGGCATGCTCCAGGACCAGCTCTTTTATATGAGCCTCGTGCAATGCAACATAATACATTCCACCAGTTTCTTGGCAAAGATGCTTACAAAATAGTTCATTTATAACTCATTTAATCACATAATATCCATACAAATTCAAATCATTTCCAATTTCATTCTTTGGAAACTATACCAATATTTCATCAATATTTAATCATCATAATCCATGAAAATCATGATTTAGACATTTAGGTAATCTCATGCTTAACTTACAAGTTGTAAGCAACTAGATGACGATCCTCACCTCAAATGAGCTTTAAATTGTTCCTTCTCAACCCAATGCTAAAACTTCGGCCAAGGGAGATTGAGAATTGATTACTTGTTTATAAATGAGTGTTAATCAGCCTCCTGAAGGTGTTAGCTCAACTCCTAACCGAAGACACGAAAACAGTCCCTAGAACGGATGTTTTCCGGTGAATTCGTTCCCTAACCTTTCAAGTTTTTGTCTAGGTTAGGATTTAACCTTTTCAACAATAAAGTAGCCTTATAATAACATTTTTTTTATAAACTTGAAATAGTGTATAATAGTTATTCAATCATTTATATGATTTAGACAATAGAAATAAAAAGTTTTGGATTCAAACTTACTTTGAATACAAAAACGTATTCTGCGAGATTGTAATTTGTTCGGACAATTTGGAGGCTTAAACTGCTCCGTTTGCTTCAAACCGTACGTCTATGGATTCCTATTCTTGATAGATTTCAGTGGACACCTCACACTCCCTTTTTGGATGAGTGTAGCTCTAGATACGAATCGAATAAAAAGACCTACGTACCGGAGAACGAATCTGCGGACAACTTCCTCTCTCTTGCTTTTCTTTGGTTTGAGTGGCTCTCTCCTTCTCCTTATCCTTACGGTTCGAATGGGGGTTGTGATAAGGCTCAAGGAGCTCTCAAATTATGATAGCTAATCGCAGGGCCGGCCCAGACATATAGAAGGCCCTGTGCAAAATTGAAAATGAGGCCCTAAGTTTTTTTTTTATCATTATATAATCATTATTATATTATTACTTTCACCGTTTTTAAATAATAGTGTCCTTAGATTTTTTTGTGGGTTTTAAGATGAAAATAGTAGGCCCTAAAGATAAATGAAAAGTAGAAAAGAGAATAAGTTAAGAAAAGTAAAGTAATGACAAAGTATGAAAAAGAAAGTAGTTACAAGCTCGTTTCAAACTGTACAAGGGTTTTGTGCTAATTAATGTAATTAGGCCTTGTGAAATAAAGAACTCACACAATTGTAATTAACAATTATACTTTAATTACATAAAAATATTACTATTTAATGTTTGTATTTAAAAAAAATAATAAGATAGAAATTTTTAATCAAATAAATAAAGATTTATTATATTATATAGACTATATTTAAATTTGTGGGCCTTCAGAAATTGAGAGGCCTTGTGCGGTTGCACTTCTTGCACGCCCTCATCTACGGCCCTGGCTAATCGTGTGGTTCACAAAAAGAAAGGGTAGGGTGTTTGATTGCAATCAAACATGCGATGGTCCTCCTCTTTTGTTTTTTTTGTATTGTTTGAGCTCTCAACTCAATAGGTCCGCCCCATTTATGTGTTCTGACTTATTTTCCTTGTTTTGCAGGTTCTAGGAAGGTGTGGGCGCACTCTGACGTCCCCTAAAGATGGGACCATAGGCATTTGTAATCTTCTCCAATCATTCTATCACTTATTTATGACATTAGTATTCATATAGATGGGCTACTAGCTGATTTGTTCATATATTTTCACTCACTTTTTTTAGCGTTTCTTGTCAAACTCGGGACAAATTATACATTTTTCTGCGTTTTTGTTGCATTTTTGTTATGTTTGAAATTAGCGTTGAAATTTACATTTTTGAGTGATTTGTGTTTAATTGGATTGATTTTATGTTTTTTTTTTCTTCTTATTTGTGTTATCAAATTTGAGCATTCTATTATATTTCAATGTTTTTCTTGATACAATAAACAAATGAAGTGCATTATTTTTCTAATAAATGAAGTGCCTTAATTAATCCAGAAAAGCAAAAAAAGAAAAAAGCTAACTGCAGCTGAGCTGCGTGAAAAGAAAGAAAAGCAAACGAAAGAAAAGAAAAGAAAATAAGGAGAAATGAAAAAAAAAGACAGCTAAAAAATGATCCTGATGGGCAAGATAAATAAGGCTGCCGACACTACTGACGGTGGATAAGAGAATCCAGACCAGCAGCTATTGACGAGAAAAAAAAAGACTTGGGAGAGCGGCTGGCAAAAAAAAACACAATTTACCCGCGGCAGAGAACATATAGCAGCTGACCGGAAGGGAAGAAACGCAGGACGAATACCGCAGCGAGCTACTCCATGTTCATTCATCTTTCAATCTTAGTTGTTAAGGTTTTATGTTAAATTTCTTCTTTAATTTCATGTTTGAGTAAGCTTTAAATTTCACTCTTGGATTACTTATCAATTGGAACTGCTCTTAAGTTGGATTTTGAACTATTATTGTGTTGAATGAATTTGTATTTGAATTATATGTTTCCTTGTATTACTTTAGCTCCTCCATTAATGTGGTTAGTTTCTTGCTAAGCATATTAGGCTAAATTTCCATGGGGTTTGGATTTGGATAAAGTTAAGGTTAGTGGGTGTTCTTGAATATTGAGGTTAATTTGGGAAAATTCTCTAATTTTTAGAACTGGTTGTTTGAGATGAAATTGAAAGAGTAATTTGTGAAATTGATCACTTCACTTGTGAATTTTTGGAAAATTAATACTTTCTTGTCTATGAGTTTAGAATTAATTTTAGCTCACATCTCACACACCCTAAACTAAGCCTAGAAATAGGACATGTTAGGGCAATTAATATTAATTTCTTGTCTAAGAGAATTGATATTTAGTATCTTTAGATTAGTGAAAATTTCCCATTTTTGTTCATAATCAAAGACACCCAAGATCCTTAATTCCAAATCTATACCCCACTTTTAATTAGTTAATTTTTCGTTACTAGTCACATTGAATTTACCTTTTAAGTATTTTATTTTCGAAACTTTACTCATCCACATGTTTGCTAGTTTAATATTTTTTATTAGTTAATATTCTCTCTCAAGTTATTTTGCATGTTCACTAGTTTTAGTTTACTCATTAATGTCATTTAATTAAATTCTCCACTACTACTTTTGTTGTTTAATTTTATTTACTTAAGTTGTAAATAAAATTAGTTATTTAATTCTCCAATACTTAAGTTGTTTAAGTATTTAGTAGTAGTGGAGAATTTAGCCTAATATGCTTAGCAAGAAACTAACCACATTAATCAAGTATTTAGTAGTAGTGGAGAATTTAGCCTAATATGCTTAGCAAGAAAATTAGTTATTTAATTCTCCAATACTTAAGTTGTAAATAAAATTAGTTATTTAATTCTCCAATACAATAGTTATTTAAATGTGCATCTTTCCCATTTTCATGTGGTAAAATAAAATAAGGAAAGTCATCCTCATTCTCGAGATCCTCCTCCTCAATCTGGACTGTTTGGAGCCTTGTACTAGTATCAAGTACATCAAGGAGCAAGTCAAGGACCTCCTCCACATTTATTTCTTTCTCATTCTGTGCAGAATTTTCTTGGTCAACTTGTACATCCAAAGTCTCCAAAAGTAGATCTAGGAGATCCTCAATTTCATCCAAACCATGAGCATAAATGTTTTGTACTTATAGAACTTTTTGTACTTGAGATGCAAGGCCTCTAATTGTTAAGATGGTACCATTAGCATCTGGTATGGCGGCAATTCGAGCCAAGTAGTGTCTTAAGTACCTATCCGTCAATTAACATTTGATACGAGTCTAATGACTCTTTCCAAAATTTCTTTCAGAAATGGACGGTGGTGGCAAGGTTACGAGAAGGAACCCGACGGGCCGTGCACCGATGGGGACCGGGCAGGGGAGCCGTGGGGCCTCTAGAGTGTCTAGAGGGGCGAGCCATGGAGGCTGATCGCACTCTGTGAGCGACGGCCATGTTGACACCGAGGATGAAACCTACTGGTCCTACGAGGACTCGACTTATCAGCCGGAGACTGAGCCGGTTGAGACCCCTTACGAAGGGGACGATGATGATATGAGTGATGAAGATGGGGAGAATGACTCCCTAGCAAGAATTGAGACGTTGCTCCGGCAATACCAGCGGGAGCGTGAAGAAAGGAGGGAACGCCGAAGGCGCCGAGGGGGGCAAACTTCGGGTAGGGCTTCAAGAGGAAGAAGCCATGGTGACTCTAGGGCCCACATTGAACCACATGGGGGCCGGGGTGATGGAGGTCCAATCATAAGGATCTCAAAATTTCTCAAGGAGGCGAGAGACTTGGGGTGAAAACCCTTCAATGGAACGGGTGACATCTCGGATGCCGCGGAATAGATCAAGAGGCTGAACGAAGCAGCCCTTGATATGCAACTCACCCCCGAGTTTAAACTCAGGGTGGCAGTGAGATTGCTTGAAGGGATGGCGTCCACATGGTGGGACGGGGCCAAGGGCAAGTATGGCAGAACCGTGACTTGGGAGAATTTCCGACAGGAGTTCTTTGCTCAATACTATTCTGATTTTGAGGTGAACACTAAGAGGAGAGAGTACACCCTCCTGACCCAAGGTGGCAAAATGACGGTGAGGCAACTTGAACACAAACTCAGGGAGCTAGCCGAGTTCATACCAGAGTATGTTTGCGACGAGAACCGAATGGTTAACCATTTCTGGGATGCCCTGGATTTGGAAAAACGTGAGAGGGAAACACAATTGCCCAACATGACCTTCATCCAAGTAGTTGAACAAGGGTTGAAGGGAGAGAAGGAATGGGAAGAAAAGAAGATGAAAAACGCCGAAGAGGCGAAGAAGAGAAAGTGGGAGAACCATGGACCTCAAGGTCCTAACAAAAAGGGGAATCATGGAGGAGGAGGATCCTTTCAGGCACCCTCACTACCACCTAGGGGAAGCCAAGGCCTGGGCGGGCAATCACAAGCCTCAGGGACGACTCGTTGCAGAAATTGCAAGAGGAACCACCTGGGAAAATGTCGTGACCCTCCCAGATGCTACCAATGTGGGAACACCGGGCACATGAAGATGAATTGCCCACAACTGGGTGGAACAAGAGCCTCAGGACCAAGTAGTGCTACTACCGGGGCACGGAATCAAGTCGGGGCTTCCCAAGCATCTAGGGGACAAGGAGGAGCAAGCGCGAGTCACGCGCCATCCGTGAACCAGGGAAATACTCAAGCCAGAGTCTATGCGATGACGGAGGCGGATGCTCAAGCTAACCCGGACTCTGTCGCATGTATTACATCAATTTTGAATGTCTTTAGACTTATTTTGAGTGAGGGGAGCTGTGGAGGTTGGGTACAGGTCATCCCGGGGGCAAACCGGGGGGTTTCGCACGGTGCGGGCAAGGTTTTTCCCACGCACGGCCGGACGCACGCGTGCGTGCCTCCGTGCGTGGGTGGAAGTAGCCATCCGGTGAAGAATATTCATGCACACACGCGTGCGTCCCCCCCACACACGCGTGCGTGACACCCTGACTGCCCGACGTTGATTTTTTCGCACTGAATTGCGACGTTAAGGCCTCTCCTTGATCCCAAACATGTGTATGAGCATAATAAACCACTATAAATGTATATAGATGGTAGGAAGGCATCTTACATGGCTTATAAATGTAGGAACACTAAAGATTAATGGGAAGGATGCGCGAATCCTTATCGATACCGGGGCGCAATGTTCATTCGTGAGTGAGGCGTTCGCCAAAGGCTTAGGGATACATTCGATACCAATGATACAAACTCTAGTGGTATCAACACCACTAGGGGATGACGTTGAGAGAACTTGTTATTATCCATCTTGTGAGGTGGAAGTCGGTGGCCAAACCTTGAGGTGTTTTGTACCGCTGAGCATGATTGATTTTGATGCGATCCTAGGGATGGATTGGCTAGAAAAGCATCATGATAGGGTAGATTGCTACACAAAGGTTTTAGAACTCGAAAGCAATGATGGGAAGGCCCTACTCATCCACATGTTTGTAGTTTAATATTTTTTATTAGTTAATATTCTCTCTCAAGTTATTTTGCATGTTCACTAGTTTTAGTTTACTCATTAATGTCATTTAATTAAATTCTCCACTACTACTTTTGTTGTTTAATTTTATTTACTTAATCATTATCACAATTAATCGTTTGAGAAAGCTTGCAACGACTCGTACTAACCGGTGACCGATATTGAAACCAACACTTCCCTCCGCCACTCCTCAGAGATACGATACTTGGGGATAAACTTTTCTATATGGAAGGGTTAAACTCCGTTTTACTACAACGCCGCGAAAGCGGGTTATGAAATGGCGCCGTTTCCGGAGAGTGGCACGGTTGTAAGATGGTTTTTATTATTGGCATAGGCGAACCCGAGTTAGAGAGACTTTCTCTCCTTTATTTTCTGTTTTTTTTTGTTTGTGTTGTTTTCTCAAGTTTGCAGGATCAGTTTGTAAAATCTCTCTCTTTCAAGCATCGCAAGTTGCTATCATTTGCTCTCTAACCTAAAAGAACATTGAGATGGTCTGAACAAAAATTCATCATGATGAGGGAGAGGCTAACAATGCTTGAAGCCTTAACCTTGGACTTCTTTGAGGAAGATATCATCAGCATTCCGCCAATCGATGTCACTGATTTTGAGATTAATCCTGATATCATTCAAGTGATATCGATTAATCAATTCGGCGGTTTGAAACATGAAGATCCCATGGTGCATATGTTGTGGTTTAATAGAACGTGTCAAACTTTCCGGATCAGTGGAGTTCCAATTGACACTGTGAAGCATATCTTATTCCCATTCTCTTTTCGGGATAAAGCTGTTCGGTGGTTAAATTCCTTTCCACCTGGTTACTTCACCACCTGGAATGCTCTTCATCAGGCGTTTATGCATGAGTATTTTCCTCCATCGACGGTTGCAAAAATCAGAGCATCAATTCAAAATTTCCGACAGGCCCCGATGGAAACACTAGGTGAGGCTTGGGATCGATACAAAGGCTTACAGAGAAAGTGTCCTGCACAGTTGATGGATGCTTATGACTTGATGTTCTATTTCTATTATGGACTTCAAGTTGTAAGTAAAAGAGAGTTGGACCATTATTCAAAAATGGGTTCTTTTCTCGACATGACACCGAAAGAGAGTGAAACGCTCATGGAGAATGTGATCTCAAGTGCTAAGAACTGGTACTATGAGACAGAATCTTCTTCCGAGGCTACACTTCAAGGCACCGATCAAATTTCAGCCCTCACAACAATAATTGACAACCTGGCAACTCAAGTGAAGAATCTCAAATCACAATCAAGTCAGGTAAATAAGCTGAGTCATTTCATGGAAGTTCAGGAAAGTTTGGTGGATGCTAGTACTGAAGCACCCACAATTGATGAAGAATCCATAGACCACGGGTGGATATCCACGGAAAAGCAAAACTTAACGGGGCTGCAAAATGAGATATTTGATGAAGATGAAGAGATCTTTGAGCCAATTTCAGAAAATGTTGATGCGGAAGACATTTCATGCGAAAGTGATGTTGAAAATGGTGAACTTTTGAAACCATATCTTGCCGAATTTGATGAGGCATCTCACCCGGAGGAGGAATTTGAGATAATCGTGATTGCATCATGTGAAGAATTGAAGAAGAAAACTCCTGAGTCAATCAATGAAATTGAGGATCTCCTAGATCTACTTTTGGAGACTTTGGATGTGCAAGTTGACCAAGAAAATTCTGCACAGAATGAGAAAGAAACAAATGTGGAGGAGGTCCTTGACTTGCTCCTTGATGTACTTGATACTAGTACAAGGCTCCAAACTGTCCAGATTGAGGAGGAGGATCTCGAGAATGAGGATGACTTTCCTTATTTTATTTTACCACCTGAAAATGAGAAAGATGCACAAGCCTTTGTTCTTGCTTGTGAGGTTTTTGTGAAACAATGGTGGTACACCAAAAGAGTTCTGAGGGCCGAGCTGTAGGATCTGAGAGTTGGAAGATCAATAAAAAAGTGGATAAAAGCGTCAACCTAGTGACGTTAAAGAAGCGCTTTTGAGAGGCAACCCAGGTGTTAAAAAGGATTACAAAAATTCAAAAAAAAAAGAAAAAAAAAATCAAAAAAAAAAACAAACAAAAAAAAACTAAAAAAACAGCACAAAAAGAAAAACAAAAAAAATATTTCGTTTATTTTCACTTGTGTTTTTGTTTTAATTCACCATTATATATTGTTTTCTTTAGCTTTTTCAGGTTAATCACTAAGGTTCCCCGATTGAATTAAATTTTGATTTGTGTTTGCTCTTTCAAATCTTCTTCAATATTGAGCACAAGGGGAGTACTTCTTACCTTTCTCTATTACTTTTTATCCTCCATGTGTGTTTATTTGTGACTCATCTTAAGTGTGAGGAGGGTGTTTTTGAAAAAAAAAATGTAGATTTGCCCAGTTTCATTTTGATTTTATTTTGAGACCTCGAGGACGAGGTCTATTCTCCAAGTCTGAGGAGGGTTATGATATATCATCATAAGAAATAAAATGTGACAGTGGTTCACCATACCCCTGTACATGAAGAATATATTCTAAATAATTTAATTTTGTATTTTAATGAAAGATAAACACAACATAGGAACAATTCAATTCAATAGTAGAGATGCAAGATCAAATCGGATAGATACATCTATCCAAAAATTATAGATTTTGAATTATCAAACCGTATATACGTAGCATAAATTTTGGCTAGAGGTGTGCAATTTGTCTTTGACAATGCTCTACTTTCAAACCGAGGTGTTAGAAGAATTGAAGTAGAGTTTAGCTTCACTTATGTAAAATATTTAAACTTGAATTTTTACTTTAAAATAAGATTTCCGTGATTGTTTGTATATACGTTAAAAGAGATTCATGTTTTTACGGTGTGGGAAGAATTTGGAAATGAAGGAAGAGCACTCTAAAAAGTATGGAAAATAGTCAAAATACCTTTTTTCTTATGTATTCTTTTCTTTTTCATCAATTATTTCCGTCTATACCATAGATTCCCCAAACCATCCTCTCACTTTAATTCATTATGCATCTCTGATCATCACTCGTTATCCGATAATCACTACTTACCTAGCTTCTCTCCATTTCCATGAAATAGAAGTCAAAAGTCACTAAAGTACTTTGATTTCAATCTAGTTTCTCACCTGTGCTACGAACGGGATGAGAATTTTTATAAATTGAGAAAACAAAAATGTTACTCCCTTCATTCCGTAATTAATTCTTATTTTGATTGCCAAGAGATTGAAAGAGTTAAAATTTTCATAATTAATTCTTATTTTGACTTTGCATAGCGATTAAAAAATTTGAAATTGTATGGCTTAGAGTGGTGTTGTGGAAAAAAAAATGTAAACCGCACATTCTTTATCAACAAAAAAGTTTATATTAGGAGAACTAAGATGGAAATAACAAAATATATTTCGAGACAGGAGTACATGATATATCATCATAAGAAATAAAATGTGACAGTAGTTCACCATACCCCTATACATCTATCCAAAAATAATAGATTTTGAATTATCAAACCGTATATACGTAGCATAAATTTTTGCTAGAGATGTGCTTTTTGTCTTTGACAATGCTCTACTTTCAAACCGAGGTGTTAGAAGAATTGAAGTAGAGTTTAGCTTTAATTATGTAAAATATTTAAACTTGATTTTTTACTTTAGAATATGAGTTATAATGTTTTTTGAGTTATAGCTATCACGGAAATCTTATTTTTGTAAATTGTTGATGTCCATTACGCTAATCCAAAGGGCTTTTTCCTTGAATATTACCAAATTAATGTTGATTTCCAAAAATGTGACCATTTTTTAAAAGGACAAAAATGTGACTAACAAGGTCACATATTTGGAAAAACATGATGTCACTATATTTTTTATGTCACTACCAGTTTTTTATGTCACAATTATATGTCTCTATCAAATATTTATGTCACTTTTAAATGTCACTATTGCTGTGAAACACCGTCATAGTGATGTCGCCACAATTACGCCACCACAGTGGCGCCCCTTCTCCCCTGCAATGACACTCTCTCCACGCCGGAAAACATGTCACTGTCGCCGGAAAACGTGTCAGTGTAACTATTTCCGCTCAATCAAAATTGCCACGATAGACACCGTGGCCAATCAACCGCAACTCCGACTCCCACACTGGCACTCAGTCCCGCACACACACCCGGCAACCACCATCGTTGACAGCCGCCGCCCTCTGAGTGACCACACCGGTCCCTCCCCAGCACACCAGCCCCCTTCCTAACCCACCAGCCCCCTCCCAGCCCCTCCCCGGCCCACAAGGCCCCATCCCCAGCCCCTCCCCAGAACACAAGCCCCATCTGAGCCACCAGCCCCCTGCCCAGCCCCTCCCAGCCCCTACCCAACCTCCGTCCCAACCGGTCGCCGCTATAGATATATAGATTTAGCTTAATTGCAGATCTAAAACCAAGCCACCAAAATAAATTCGAATAAATTGCAGGTCTAGAGGAAGGAGAAGAAGAAATGAATCTAGTAGCCTACTAATTCGATCTCGTCGTTTTTGTTGAGGTTGGAGTCACCGTTAATGGAGTCTCACCGTCGCCGTTGATGGAGTTTCAACGCCATTAATCGCTGGAGTTCACCGTAACACGGATGCCATCTTTGTCGTCGAAGAGCTTTGTCGCCATGGAATATAGTCAAAATACCTTTTTTCGTATGTATTCTTTTCTTTTTCT